TTTTTAGAATTTTCAATATTTCATTTATGTTCAAAATTATATGGACTTAAATTGCAATTTATATAGTTTGTCTGGTCATCTGTATGTAGACACATATTGTTTAGTTTCTTTTTGAAATATATTTCAGAGAAAAGGATATTGATGAAGTACTACAAACACATACAATATTTACTAATGTGTCCAAGGGTCAAGTGGCGAAGAAAGAAGATCTCGTAAAAGCTTTTGAAACCGAAGACCAAACTGAAATATGCAAACAGATTCTTGCAAGAGGTGAACTTCAAGTTTCCGATAAAGAGAGACATCTTGCATTGGAATCCATGTTTAAAGACATCGCTACAACAGTCGCCAGCAAATGTATAAATCCAGAAACTAAACGTCCATATCCAGTTACCATGATCGAGAATGCCATGAAAGATGAAATACATTTTTCCGTTAAACCTAATCGAAATGCCAAGCAACAGGCTCTGGATGTTATCTCGCAACTGAAAGAAGTGATGCCTTTGGAACGTGTTCAAATGAGGCTCAGAATTGTTACTCCAGAAAAGGAGGCTAGGAAATTGAAGGATAAAGTTGTTAAACTTGTAACTAAGATGGAAACGGAAGAGTGGGATAATGGATCATTAACACTAATTTGCTTAATCGATCCAGGTCATTATAGAGAAATAGATGAATTAGTACGATCAGAAACGAAAGGCACCGCTTTATTAGAATTAGTTAATTTAAATGAGGTAATAGAAGGAGAAGAACTCTTAACGTAAATAATAAATAAAGTTATTTTTTAACAATCGTTATCTATTAGAAAGAGATTCATATTTATTAATTTAAATTTATACTTTAAACATATTTGTTACATTTTAGGATATATGGCTAATAAAATAATTTGTATTTGTATTTACAACTCTTATTTGAATCAATTATCTATGCGCACATATCACAACAGTATTCTTACCATGACGTTGTTGAAAACATTGTTTCTTAAGATTGCAATTAAGAATTACACATTTTCCATTTAACTAATTTTATTCTATTTAAAAAGTGCAATTTTAGATATGTAACGAAATACATATCCAGCCTGCAAAATATGTCTACTACTCAACAGACAATAAGTATAGGCAAGCATTTGATAACAAATGATAGCGACAATATTATAAGAACGTTTACTCACAGTCTAGTATTCTTACACACACACACACACACACACACACACACACACACACACACACACACACACACACACACACACACACACACACACACACACACACACACACACACACTACACA